AATTAACCAAAGCTAAATATATACTATTGGTTAATCTGCAATCATTTGATGTCCGACTTAATCACAAGTATTAACAAATATTTGACTATCAAATTTTTGTTTGATTGTGCCAAGCACTAGTAATAACAAGACTTCATACAACAATTACTTATTCTTTTATAGTAGCTAGACATACAAAATTTTTACCTAATAGATTTTTTGGATTATTTAAATTAAAACTTCGTAATTCAGAAGTTGATGATTTAGAAGATTTAGCACAAGTTATTAGAGATTCAACATTAAATAATTATAATATACTACAATTAATTGTTGAAAATGGATAGCATAAAGTTAAATTTTTTAATTAGACATTATTTTTAAATAATTATTTTAATACAGTTTCTCAAATTTTAAAACAACATTATTTTTATTTTAGTAATAATAATATAGGTTATGTGTTTATTAAAACAGCAATTAATGAATCTGAACAAAAAATTAAATTAGTTAAAGATAATCAAAATTTACTACCTATAAATTCTTTTCCTGCACAAAAATTTTCTTTGGAATTATTAGCTGCAAGACAATGATATCTTTATGAAGGAATAAGAATACATATACAAAATCCTTTAAAAAAAGATAATTTTTGTTCTTTATCACTAGTTTTAAAATCTAAAAATACTATTAAATAAAATACTTATTATTTTTAAAATTTATTAATTAAAAATAAATCTAATTGTAAAAACTTATTATATAACAGCCTCAGAAAGTAGTTTAAAGTCAATTAATAATTTATTATTTTTATTAAACTTTTTATAATCAAATATAAAAAAATTTCAAAAAAAAAAATTATTATTCAAAAAAAAAAAACTCAAAAAGAGCTTTTAATTGCCAGAATCCCAATTATTTCTTCTAACAATTGGTAATCCTTTCTAAATTTTTGAAGAATCTTAAAAGAACTACCAATTGCTAAAAGAATTTAAAAATCTTGAAAGAATTATCAAAAATTGTTAGAAAAATTTTCAAAAGCCACCAAAGAATACTGGAAATCTCAAAAATCCAGAATGAAACACAAAAAGTCCTCCAAAAGCTGTCAAAAAAATGTCAAAAATGTCAAGCATCTAGAAAGAAACATCTAAAAGTCATCAGAAGAAACTCTATAGGTTGCCAAAAAATGCTAAAAGTACCAAAAGTCATCAAAAGAACCTCCAAGAGCTGCCAAAAATCACTGGAAGTACCCAAGAATCCAGAAAGAAACACCTAAAAGTTATTAGAAAAATCTCTAAAAGCTAGCAAAAAATGCCAGAAATATTAAAAATCTAGAAAGAATCTTCAAAAGAAACTCTAAAAGTTGCCAAAAAATACTAAAAGTACCAAGAGTCCAGAAAAAAATATCTAAAACTCATCAGAAAAACCTTCAAAAGCTACCCAAAATCACTAGAAGTACTAGAAATTCTAAAAGAAATACTAAAAAGTTGTTGGAAGAACTTCTAAAAGCCACCAAAAAATGCTGAAAGTACTAAAAATCCAGAAAAAAACACTGAAAAGTTCTCAGAAGAACCTCAAAAACTATTAAAAATCATCAGAAGTACCAAGAATCTAGAAAGAATTTTCAAAAAATTGTCAGAAGAACCTCCAAAAGCCACTAAAAAATGCTAGAAGTACCAAGAATCCAGAAAGAACATCTAAAAGTTATCAGAAGAAACTTCAAAAGTTGCTAAAAAATGCTGAAGTACTAAGAATCCAGATAAAAAACAAATAAAAGTCGTCAGAAGAATCTGCAAATAATATAATCAATTAGTTAGTTAAAAATTTTTAAAATTGTACAAATCGATTATTGCTAACTAATCAATTATAGCACTTTGCAAAAAGATATGATCCCATGATTTTTGTGATAATGAAAGAGAAAAATTTCTGAGATTCTAAATTGTCTATTAATTCATATTTTTGATTAATTATTTTTATATTTATCTAAAATCGATAAGATTTTTAAAATCTACAGAATCTCTGATTTTCATGTAATATTATAATCTGCAGAGATCACATCTTTTTGCAAAGTGCAATAATCGATTAGTTGTTTAATTTATAAAAATAAATATGCTAAAAATTTTATTAAAAAGCTAATTATGATGGTTTGCAAAAAAATGTAATCTTTGCAGATTATAATATCATGTAAAATCATGATAAATTAGCTGATTCTAGTAGATTTTTTAATTCTTAGAGAATTTTAAAGATTCTAAATAAAATATAGATGTTATTGATCAAAAATTATAATTAATAGGGAATTAAAATCTTAGAAATTTTTTGCTATCATTATCACAAAATCACAGAGTTACATCTTTTTGCAAACTGCCATAATATAAAAGTAACTAATTAATTAATCAATTAATTAATTAATAGTTAATTGATTAATTGATTAGTTTGTTAATCGATTACTATAATAGTTGTGTCAAAATTATTAATCGATTAGTTGTCAAGTTAGCCAACTAAACGATTAATCAATTTTCAATTCATATCAATAGCCAGAAGTACCAAGAATTCAGGAAAAAGTTGTCAGAATAACCTCTAAAATTCACTAAAAAACACTAGAAGTATCAAGAATCCAGAAAGAAACACCTAAAAGTCATTAGAAAAACCTCTAAAAGCTATCAAAAATCGCCAAAAGTATTAAGAATCTAGAAAAAAACACTAAAAAATTGTCAGAAGAATTTTTAAAAACCACTAAAAAATGCTGGAAGTACCAATAATCTAGAAAAAATCTCCAAAAGTCATTAGAACAAACTCTAAAAGTCATTTAAAATACTAGAAGTACCAAAAATTCAAAAAGATCTTCCAAGAATATCCAAAATTTGCTGAAAGTATCAAAAATATAGAAGAAACATCAAAAAGTCATTAGAAAAACCTCTAAAAAACACTGGGAGTACCAAGAATTCAGAAAGAACTTTGAAAAAGAATCCAAAATTTGCTAAAAAAATTTCAGAAGTATCAAGAAACACTAAAAAATCCTCAAAAGAACCTCCAAAAGCTACCAAAAAATGCTAAAAGTACCAATTCCTTAATATGTAGACCAACACAGGCAAATTTGCCTGTGTTTTTACACTTTTTTAGCTCTGATTTACTTTTTTAAAATGCTAAAATATTTAAATAAAA